ACAAGTCCCTGACTTCTCTGGTTCCTAGACCCAATGCCTCTCTTTACCTGCATCCTTGATAGAGGTAGAGGATCTGAGTTTACTGGGTCAGATGTTTTATAAGGCACCAGGACATAATAAGGAGCAATTTCTGAGTCTCAAGAGGATAGTTGAGACAATATTCTGGGGATAATGGTTTAAGGAAGGGCAGTTTTGAAGATAATTTGAAGCAGATGTTCTGATGATCAGAGCCACAACTCTTTACACTCCTTTTACTCTGGGGTTGCTGAGGGAAACAACATGCTATTGGGAAGAAAGGAGGGAGCATTGTCTGGGGGATATGGTACTTTTAACTGGGTAGCTCATGTTTTCTACATAGCATCCACCCATGGAGGTATCTGGTTATCTTTGCATTATCTCTCAATTTTGAAAGTTTTTGTTATTCTTAAGCAGACTCCTCTCAATGCAGTGTCTATTATAGTTCAGGAAAACAAAAATATTAAAAATCATACTATTTTCAGATTTGACAATGAATTTTTACATATTACATCTCATTCAATTCCCTCCATGCCTTTTTGAGATAGATTGTAGTATAATCATGTTGCATCTGAGGAAAATTGAAGTGTCCTGATGCTCTTTTAAGGTCACACAGCTGACATTTGACAGAAAAGGTGCCCTGAACCAGTATGTTGATTTCTTCTCGATAGTCTATTTCATGACACTAAAACTCTAGGTCCACTCATACTTTCCCGGCCCACACACCTTCTGCCATCATTGCCTGGTCTCCTCGGCAGCTGTGGTTGAAAGCATGGGGAGTAATTATGTGATTTCTCTTGGAGATAAAAAAGGAAACTTTCTTGGCCATTTTAAAGCTGTGCCATTTCTTTCTTGGACTTTGTTCCAGGCTGAGTTCTTTCCTTTATGCTTAGAGATCTCTTTTGCTGTCATTGAGGCTATAAAATCAATCTGGCTGTACCTTTTTAATGCTTAGAATGTGAATTGGTGAAATAATTTATCTTACATTCCAAAGACTTCTCAGACCTGAGAACCAGGTATCTGTGTGTCCTTGTGTCTGTTTCTCACAAGTGAGGATTGTGGTACTTGAGGTATTGAGATGTCAGAAAGACATAATCCCTAAGTCCTCCCTATCGGCCCTATTTTTTAATCCCTTTATATTACTCTCTTTGGCTGAGGGGCTTAGAGGCATACAGGAGCCCTTGATTACACCCTGACAGGGTGCTGTTGTCTAGGATAGAGGCCAGTAAATGTGAGCAATGGTCTGGTTCACTCACACAAAGCCATGATGCTGGGTAATTTACTTCTTTCCAGATCTCAGTTTTCTAACCCATAAAATGAGGTATTGAATGTGGCACATCCTGGGGATGTGAATAATGAAAACTCTTAGTGTGAAAACCTGAAGAGGAGAGCAGGAAGGCAAATCTGCCAGTTTTCTTTCTTGCCCTCAAGAAGGTGACTGTGATCCAGAATTCTTTGGCCTTCGTGGTGCTGTTGTTACCAAGAGCCTCTGTTTCCTGCAGGTCACCACAATGATAAACTTTGTGTCAACTCCAATACAATATCACCTTGAAGGAGGGGAAGACATGGGAGGTTGTGGAGTCAGATAGACATGGTAATATTGGGAAGTGAAGCAAGTGCTATGGATGGGAATAATCCAAGGAAGAGACGATCAATGTTGGAGTCATCAGGGAGCGTGTTATTGGTTAGTCTTGGCATTCAAGTGAAGTTTAAAGGGTAGGATGTCTCTAAATTAAGGGATTTTCTAATGTCAGATTTTTGGTGGTCTCAGATGAAATTTAGTAGAATAAGGCAGAGGATCAGCTGAAGTCAGTGCTGATTAAATCAAACACAAGCATGCAGAATTTGGGAATAAGAATTGCATGGGAATGATTTTTATTCAACAATTTCCTGGGCATCCCCTTAAAGTATATGGATTGCCCTGTATCCCACATGTGATGGGATATGTAACCTGGAACCTGGTTTCTGAACTTCCTGTTCAATGTATTGCCTACCAACTTGCCTCTTCTGTATTTGAAGATTTTGCAGAAATCTTGACTGAACTGAAAATTATTTTTTACTTTCCCCCTGAGAATGATTGGGGAAATTTATGTGGTGGTGGTTGGTGGTGTAATGAGACCATGTGTCTCGAGTTCCCAATTTCCCCATTATTGTGTCTCACCTGCCTGCTTTTCTTTGCAGAGGCCCTTTGTTCTTCCATGTGGGATGATGGCCGAGATTGTTTCCAACAACTCTCACCTCTTCCCACATACCTTTTTCTTGGTTGGCATCCCAGGACTGACTGCTGCCCACATTTGGATCTCACTTCCTTTCTGTTTCATGTTTTTCTTGGCACTGACTGGGAATGGCATCCTGCTTTTTCTCATCTGGACAGAGCACAGTCTTCACCAGCCCATGTTTTTGTTTCTGGCCATGCTGTCTTTTGTTGACCTGGTCCTCTCCCTTTCCACTCTGCCCAAGATGCTGGCTATATTTTGGTTTGATGCTACAGCCATCAGCTCCTTCTCCTGCCTTTCCCAGATGTTTGTCATCCATGCATTCTCTGCCATGGAGTCAGGGGTGCTCGTGGCCATGGCTTTCGACTGCTTTGTGGCTATCTGTAATCCACTGCATTACGCAACCATCCTGACCCCAGTTGTTGTCACCAAGATTGGGGGCCTGGTGGTGCTTCGAGGTGTGGGGTTGACCATCTTCTTTCCAAGCTTGGCTCGTCGACTGCCCTACTGTGGCTCGCACATGATTGCCTATACCTACTGTGAACATATGGCAGTGGTAAAGCTGGCCTGTGGGGCCACCACTGTGGACAACCTCTATGCTTTTACCGTGGCAGTCTTTCTTGGTGTCGGGGATGTGGCCTTTATTGCCTACTCCTATGGGCAGATTGTGAAGACTGTGATTCGTATTCCCTCACCCGAGGCGCGTGCAAAAGCAGGCAGCACGTGCACAGCTCACGTCTGTGTCATCTTCTTCTTTTATGGACCAGGCTTTCTTTCTGTGGTCATGCAGCGCTTTGGGCCACCCACAGCCTCTGCTGCCAAGGTCATCCTTGTTAATCTTTACTTGCTCTTTCCTCCTGCATTGGATCCCATTGTCTATGGGGTTAAAACCAAGCAGATCCGGGAGCGGCTGTTCACAATTCTAGGCTCCAAACAGATTGATCCCACTTGAGTATAATTTTCATCAGCTGAACATCAGGGGCCACAGTGGCCCTCTCCCATGGGGCAGAAGCCTCACAGCTCAGGTACATTTGTCTGGTGGGGACAGTGAAGATAAAGGAAATTAAGTTATCTTTAGAGGCTGTAAATTGCAAAATAACTTCTGGTTTCTGTGATGTTCAGCTATTAGGGAAAAAGACTAAGAAGGGCTGTTATATCTCAACTAATAATTAAGCAAGTAATTTTCTGATACCATTTTTATCCAAAAGCTTATAGTTTATTTGTGCTGATATTACAAATACATCAAGTAACTAAGAAACAGGACTTTGATGGATCTAGATTCAAGTGACTGGGGGGTTCAGGGAGAGAGGAACTGGATATCTATTTGGGGCATTGAAACAAACAGGGCAACTTCTGTCACATGGATGGATGAACTCAATGACTCCTATAATATTATATACTTCTACTTCTTGGAAGAAATGGTAATTATTTACTTTATTTCTTCAATTTTAGTCTCAAGACTCAAGAGCAGAGACTTGAGTTAAGCATGCTCTAAGTTTATTGCACACAATAATAATTTTTAAAATTCTTGTTCTGTTTCTTATTTTTTGTTTTCATTTCTAACTCTTCTCATTCTCTTCCCAGTTCCTACCATTGGCACCCACTTTACTGTGTTTTCATGTGTTCTTAAAATTGTACATATCTGTGAAATTGATAGTGTTGTTTGAGTGTTATACCTTCCTAATTACACAAGTGCCCTTCTTCAGGTTCCTCAAATGTGTATGTTCCCTCTAGCGAGGGTTGTCCCAGCTCCTCCTCATGGAAATACAACTCCTTGTTCTATCTTCATTACTTCTACTCATCTTGAACTTCAGTTCCAGCCTCAACAACTTGGAGGAAATTTTTCTAACTACATCAAGTCACTCATTTTCTCACCTCAGAGTACAGTGTATGTATCTTTCAATTTATAATTATATATAAATATATAATGATATATATATAATACATTAGGTAATCTAAACTATATATATCATTATAATGTTATGCTATATATGTAATACACATACTTATATGTCATTATATATACATATAAATGTGTATGTGTATATAATGTATAAAGGTGTATATATGTGTAAATATAATGATCTCTGTCCAGCATCCCCAGTAGAACATGATTTCTATTGTATTCTTGCATGTGATATGCTCTTAATAAATGTTTGATTAATAAAAAGATCTTATCTAGGCCCTGGTGTATTTTTTCATTAGTCACATTAACATTATGTGCGTTTTTGAATAAATGAATACACAAGTTTCCATATCAGTAGGCATTCAGTATATTTTTTTGAAGAAATGGAATGAACCATTGTCATCACAATCACATCACAAATACTACTTTCTTCACTATCATCATCAAGACTGACATCTCCTTAATTTAGCCTTGTCAATGGTTGTAATTTCAAATGGTAGTATTTTCTACACTGTGCAGAGGCACTGAAGGACATGAGTACTGTTTTAAGACAGAGTCATTGTTGTGCACAAATATAGGACAAACAGGAAAAACACAACGGCATTTGTCTTCCTTCTTTTTTTTTTCTTTTGCTCCCCTTTCTTCTTTTCTTAATTATGACCTTTCACATCTTGAGTATTTACCATGCTTTCAGTGTGATGGTGAGATGAAATTGAAAATGCAGAAAGTATGATAAAATGTGGAATTGCTCTGAGAGAGACTGGTTCCAAGTCATATTGGTTCTAAATCATAGAGAACAGTCCTCATTGGAGGGTGAGTGCAGGAGTGGGGTATGGACTGGGTTGGGTTAAAGGGATACTATGTATGACCAAGGTTTAGAAGAGCAGGGGCTTACATTGATAGATGGGTAGTCAGAGGGTTAGGGATAAACTTCCTGTTACAGGAAGCAGAGGTTTGCCTCAAATATTTCCTCTTAAGTAGTTTCTGCTTTATGCCATATACTACGACCTTATTTTCTTCTTTAAATATTAGTCTTTGAGATTATTAGTAAGAAGATGGCTCTTAAAGGCAAAAAGTGGAGACCCAGTTTGTCCCTGTAGCTGATCCAAGGGACAGAGTGGAACAAAGATCTGCAGGAGAGGTGGACCAGCCACAGGATTGCAGAGAAGCCTTCTTTAGATGGGTGGAGGATTGAGTGATGGCTACCACCAAGGGGCTTAGAGGTCTTCAAGTGCTTTGAGAAAAATAATTTTGAACAATTCTACTTTGAATATGTTGTATTAGTGAAAAATCTTGTTCATAAGGGTTACTCTTGAGTTTCAGCTCTTACTCCATGGTACCTTGAGTCCTTGAGATAAAAACTTTGCACACATACACTCTGATGTTCACAAAATGCAGAGCGGGTGTCATGATTATTCCCATTTTATGTCTAATGAAATGTCATATCTCCTATTCAGCAGGAACCACTTGTTTTCTCATATTTCTTTTCTATCTATGTTTGGTGGAAGTATTTAGTGTGCTTGTTCTCAAATACAATTTTTAGTCCTTTCCCATAAAACAGACAGGCAAACAAATAAGCACAGACGGGTACTTCTTCGATATTCATGTCATTCATGTATATTATCTTCTACCACTCCCAGTTAATTTTTATCTCTCATAATTACTCTTCTTCCTTAAATGATGACATGGTAAAAATCTGTGTTTTGATCCCTGTGGGAGACATCAATATTCATGTGGATGACCCATTGACTTCTCTGGCTTTTTATGTCCCTGATTTCTTTATCCCCAAAGCTCCCTAATTCATCTTCCTATTCTCTTGATATGTCCTTAAATGTCTCTAGAGAATTCTGCATTAGCTTCCCAGCAGATTTCCAACTTTGTTTAACTCCTTCCTACCCATTCTCTTAGGATGATGTTTTGTTAATGAGAGTCTGTTCATGTCTCAGTCAATTGCTTAAAATCCATCTTGACTTTCCATAGCTCTTTAACATGGCCTAAAAGACCCTGCATGCACAGGTTCCAGCTTATACTCTAGTCTAAGTTCCTGAGTAAATAAATAAAATTATTTATAAAAAAATTATTTCAAGTCTTTGAAAATATCAAATTCTCTCTCTTCTTGCCATATGGATTTTGTACCCTCAACCTACTCCACACCCTCTTTCACTTTAATCAGTACTTCTGGTTGCTGACTTGAATTAGGGAGGTCTTTTCTGAGCTCTGCATAGACTGGAAAAGTCTACCTAGTATATGCTTTTAACACACAGTAGGTTTAATTTCTAATACTTACACCTGCTATTAATTATTTATGTGATCATGTACTTAATATATATCATCTAGTAACACTTTTATCATTTTATTACTGTTTTATCATATTGTTTACTTTTGCTAACATCTAGTAGAGTACCTGGAGTTGGTAGATATTTATTACAGATGATCTTTGATTTACGATGGGATCACATCACAAGTTGAAAACATTAAGTCAAG